ATTGTAACCCCTCTGTACAGTATGTTCACAAATAAAATTAATTTTAAAAAAATATATAATTTCTTTAATTAGTTTTTAAATCTATAGAAAAAAACAGAAGTTTGAAAGCTTATGAAATCATCTTAAAAGGACACATCAGTTAGTTCTACAATACTCAAAAACAGTAAAAAAAATAATAAGTTCATCTTATTGTTAGCCATGCTTGGATCTCTATTGCTATAATCTAGGCTTACCAACAATAACTTGCAAGTTACAAGTTGATTTAGGTATTACCACTCCTAATATGGCTCTCCTGTCCTGAATATCATTTTGTCTGAAATCATATGACTTATTCTCACTTTTGTTCCAGGATTCAAGTGAGTTATCAACTCCTCTGAGAAACATTTTCCTGACTTGATCTTTGTAAGTCAGGGAGCATAATATCTTTATCAAAACTTGTGCTGCCTTCTATAAGCATTTATCATGTTTTTGTCACTGTCTGTTCCTCTACAAATCCCATAACTTCCTGAATCAGGGACTATATTTTATTTTTTGGTATCCTTGTGTCTGGCTCACAATACAATAAATGTTAAAAGTAATAGTTATTAAATGAAGCTGGGTAATAGTGGCTCAAACCTGTATTACTAGCTACTCAGGAGGCTGAGATCTAAGGACTGTGGTTCAAAGCCAGCCTGGGCAGGAAAGTCTGAGACACTTATCTCCAATTAACCACCAGAAAACCAGAAGTGGCACTGTGGCTCAAAGTGGAAGAACACTAGTTTGGAGCAAAAAGAGCTCAGGGACAGTGCCCAGGCCCCTAGTTCAAGCCTCACGACTGACCAAAAACAATGAAGATGATAATAAAATAAAGAAATATTAAAGTAATACTCAAATGCTTTGTTTGGCTTCCTAATGTTTATAAAGACTTTAAAGTAACTGTCAACAATATAGAAGACTGATTCCTCCCTTCCCTGAAAGATTAAATTACAATGTTTTAAAAATAGATTCACTTGGGGCTGGCAAGGTGGCTCAGTGGTAGACTGTTTGCCTTGCATGCATAAAGGCCTGGGTTCAATTCCTCAGCAGCATATAAGCAGAAAATGCCAGAAGTGGCACTGTGGCTCAAGTGGTAGAGCACTAGCCTTGGCTGAAGAGCTGAGGAACAGCGCCCAGGGCCAGAGTTCAGACCCCACGACCAACAACAAAAAATAGATTGACTTGGAAGAAAAAAATTGAGAATCCTAGGTGATAGAAACAAAGAAGAAACTGAATGGGAGAACGAAGTATGGAAGGTGACTCAAGTATCCCAGAGGATTATCAGGATTTAGGCCAGGACAGACAAGAGTAGGAACTGAGATTTTACAGGATAAGCCTATCAGCTGCTAAATGCTTATTGATATGACTCACAGAGATAACTACAAAACTGACTATAATGTGTGAGAATTAAGGAGACAGAGGATGAAGGAAGAAAAAAAACAAACTCTGTTCATGTCTGAGAATACCATGTATTTTATCCTGGCAGTCATAATGTGAGGCTGATAAGGTATACCCAACTCAGAAAGTTTTGGGAACATATCCAGACTAACTTCTAAGAATATCCCAGCCTCATATTACATATAAATAAGGCTAGGACAATAAGCTATGTTTCCAAAAGAATATAAGCAGCCAGACACTATCATCTACAGCTGTGCTTTTGCTTATAAGGCAGTAGAACAAGAAAACTACATATATTTTAGATATGCCACCAATGACTGCATGGTTGATACAAATCAGTACAGAGATTGTTGTTTTACTGTTTTTTTGAGACAATATCACACTATATATCCTTGGCTGGCCTAGAAATCACTATGTAGCCCACATTAGTCTCAAACTCATGATCCTCCCACCTAAAAAGCACCTGAGTACTAGAATTACAGGTATGCACAATCATATCCACCTACATTTTCAATGGCTACTCAGATATATGAGTGTACATAAGGTTAGGAACACTGAAAGACTTTTGCTTAAAGCTTAGACTTTGAAAAGGTCTCAGTAAAATGAGAACTCTAGGATTAGGTATTTTCAATGGCAAATTCTACTAAACAACTCTAAACAACATCAGTTTTACAAAATATCCCAGAAAACAGGAATGCAGATGGAGGATACAGCTTGGTCATACAGTGCTCACCTAGTGTATGTGAGAATTCAATCTTCAGTACCACACAAAAAAACAACAAAACACTTCCAACTAACATTAAGAGATCAGTATTACTCTGATATCTAAAATAAAGTATGACAATAGAACACAACAGACCAATATTCCTCATGAACATAGGTACAGAAAATACCAGCATCTCAGATTCAGCAATATATAGAGATGAATGAGTACAAATTACACAATGAAGAAATAATCCTTATCTTGATACATCCAAGCAATCAAAGCAGCCGCCAAATTAAAAATCTAAAGTCCAAATGATTGTATCTAAATTTAAAAAGCAAAAATTCAACATCTACACATTAAAAAAAAATCTGACAGCTAAGAATTACAGGGAAACTATCTCAACATTATAAAAGAAAACATAGGAAGGATTTAAGGGTATGGCTCAAGCATAGAATATCTGCCCAGCAAGTCTAAAATCCTAAGTTCAAATCACCAAAACTCCTAGTATCACCATCAACAAAAATAAACAAAATTCATCCTTAATAGCAAAAGACTAGTTAAGACATCAACTCTCCATCTCTCCTTTCAGTTATTTTATTAGAAATTCTAGCCAGCATCTTAAAAAGCAAAAGGTTGAAGACAAAGAAATGGAGAGGAAAAACAAACTAAGCTCATAGTCAAAAAAGCCACAAAACTCCTAGAACCAAGGAGTTTAGCAAGTTTACAAGACTCAAAGTCAACACACAAAATTCAGTTGTATTACATAGATTAGCAATGAACAATTTAGGAATGAAAAATTTTAAATACCATTGTAATAGCTCCTTGTCTTTCTCCTGATTTTAGAGGGAATGTTTTTAGTTTTTCAACATTAAGTATGATCTTGGCTGCAGGTTTGTCATAATATTGAGCTTTTATAATAAAAGGACGTTGATTCTTTTAAAATTGTATTTATTATAAACGTGATATACAGAGGGGGTACAATTACACAAGTAGGTAATGAGTACATTTGTTTTTGATAGTGTCACCCTTCCTTTGCTCTCTCCCAGCTTTTCCCTCCCATTAGCACCCACAAGCTGTATAGTTCATTTTCAACATAGTATCTAGCGAGTACTACTGCTGCATTTGCTCACCCTTTGTCCTTCCATTTCTTTCTTGCTTACCATCGGAAAGACAGATAAACTAAACAAACAAACCAGACAAAAAGAAAATAAAAACAATAACAAAAGAAAAAAACTTCTTGTTTCCATTTCTTGGAGCTCATTTCATTAAGTATCATTTCATGTGATCCAAGGCACAAAGAGTATCTAGTGAGGCCTATATAATTTATCATGTCTGGATATGAGAGAAAACATGGGCCATTTAGGACACTGATCTTGTCAAAAGTCCCTGAGATACTGATGTGATTCTTGTGTTGGTTCTGTTAATGAGTTATATTACATTTACTGATTTACAGATATTGAACCACTATTGCATACTGAGATGAACACCAAAGAAACTGAATACCAGTAGCTCAGATCTATAATCCTGGCTACTCAGGATAAGATATGAGAATCACAGTTCAAAGCCAGCCTGAGCAGAAAAGTCTGTGAGACTCATCACCAACTGACCACAAAAAAGCCAAAAGTGGAGTTGTGGCTTCAGTGGTAGAGTGCTAGCTTTGGGCGCAAAATCTCAGGAAAGTGCTCAGGCTCTGAGTTCAAGCCCCAGGATGGACACAGAGAGACAGAGAGAGACAGACACAGACAGACAGACAGACATAGACAGACAGACAGACACACACACACACAGACACACACACACACACGAAGAAACCTTCAACTCCACTTCCAGCTTTTTGGTAGTTAACTGGAGATAAAAGTCTCATGGACTTTCCTGACTTTGAACTAGGATCCTCAGATCTCAGCCTCCTGTAGCTATGATTACAGGTGTGAGCCACCTGAGCCTGGGAAGAAGCCTATTAAATATGATGTACCTCTTACATTAATGCAACATATTCATAGTTTAGACATAGGTGAATTTTATTATCACATACTGTTTGAAATTAACATTTTTACTTCAATTTCCAACATTACACATAAATTTTTTATGATATAGCCAAGCATAGTGTCTCATGCCTATTATCCTAGCTACTTAGGAGACTAAGACTGGGAATATTTCAGTTGGAGACAACTGGGCAAAAGTTCACAAGCTCCATGTTAACCAATAAAAGCTGGGCATAGTGGCATGTACTTGTCATCCAAGCTCTACTGCTGAGTTACATCCCTGGCCCTGTATCAGCAGGTTACAAAGCAAAAATCAGGAAGAGGAAAGGCATGTGAGGCCAAATTCAGCAAATAGGCAAGTTTTAAAGTTGTTTTCTAATGAAATCCTACAGGTTGTACTCAATTCCCTCTGCAATTAGTTGTGACAATACTTGTGAAACATTATCAGGGAAACTTGTTAGAGGCTCAGCCCTCAGGATTTTAAACAAGGGGCTGTTCAGACTCCCAGAAGGAAAACAGATATTCAGCATAAATTATATTTCTTACATAAAAGTTTAGGCATAACAAGTAACTATCAGTTCTGGGAATGGTGAGAATCCCTCTCAAATCCAAATTTCCAAATGCTAGTCAAGAGCTGACCTTGTAATCAGTCATTTCTCTTATTTTATTATTTGTTTTGCAATCAGTCATTTCTAAGAACTGCAGTCAAATAGCCTTTTCTTAACTCTTCTACATAACATGTTTCACAGACTAGGGTAGTGCCTAACTAAAATTCAGCTGTAAATGTAATCGGATGCTGCAGCCTGTGAAGGTTCTGAACAAATGATTAAGCCTAAGGGCAGACTTGGGGTCTCCCAGACAAACATATTGGAAGACATAAGAATAAAAGGAATACATACCATCTTACCAGGCAATGTGCTCTTGGAGGAAAGTCATTATTCATACATAGCAAATCTTGCATAGACTGTGGAATGGCATCTATAAAAACATTTTAAAATGAAGGCATAAATTCAATTTAAGACAGAATTTTATAACATATTTGAGGAAAGAAACATCCTGCTACACTGTATAGTTCTGCAGTTCTTTAAAGAATTATAACTAGGAGTTTCTTTATATCCTCCTCTTGACCACTTCAGACAAAACTATTAAAAAAAAAAAAGCATATACTGCCAGGTGTCAATGGCTCATGCCACTCAGGAAGCAGAGATCTGAGGATCATGGCTGAAAGCCAGCCGAAGCAGGAAAGTCCCTGTGAGACTCTCATCTCCAATTAATCACAGAAAAAGCCAGAAGTGGTGCTGTAGCTCAAGCGATAAAATGCTATCTTGAGCAAAAGGAGCTTCAGGACAGTCCCTAGGCCCAGAATTGGCACACACAAAAAGAGTGTATACCAATTCTATGCTTATTTTTTTCTTCTATATCATTAAGCAACTTCCCAACTTTATTAAAAATCTTGTTTGTTCTTCCTTTCATACTTCTCTATTTTTATTCAAAATTTTACTTAGGTATCTGTTAAGTCTATTATCACTTCCTTTAGGTATTCTTTTCTGTAACTATGGTCATCTTAAATATTTTTATAAAGCCTCTACCCAGTTTCCTATTTCTAACTCATGTACTTTGAAGCACCTAATCTGCAATCTATAATAAGATACTAACAAAGTACACTATATACCTCCATGGAATTATCACAAGACTCCCACGTATGCTAAATAAAAACCTAATTAAAAAATAAGATACTAACATTGTTATTTATACTCATAATTATATTAAGTTCAGATCACAAAGAGTAATGACTCATTATAAAAGATTTCCAGCTGTTGGGTAACTATAATTGCTTGGCAAATTTATATTGTGGTAATTCACTAAGAGAATGGAAAGCATTAATGACTTGCCACTCCATTTAACTAAAAACAATACACAACTCCAAGATAACAAAAAGATCTTCTGACAGCTCATAATAGTTTTAAGTATGTATCTCTAAATTAGCTGAGCTTATAGTTTGCTTGTAGCTTTTACCATTAGCTACAGCTTTAATTACAACCAGAAAGAAAACTGTTCAGTACATATACATATACACATAAGTAACAATCCTTACCCTTGTGTGGGCACATGCACAGCACATGTGTGTGTGTGCATCTATATGCACACAAGCACATTTTAGTACTAGGTCTTAAACTCAGGATCTCAAGCTTTTGGCTTTTTTGCCCATAACTACCACTCTACCATTTGAACTATACCTACAGATTTTGTTGTTTTTTTTTTTTTGCTAATTAATTGGTGATAGGAGTCTCTAAGGTTTATCTGCCTGGGACTGCTGTGAATCGCAATCCTCAGATCAGTCTCCTGAGCAATTAAGATTATAGGTGTGAGCTACCAGCAACTATCTTAAATTCATTTTTATCTTCTCTTATACTACAATTCTCTTCATCTATATCAGAAACACTGATTTAAAGCCACCTCATTATAACAGCTTTTCCTTTATGAGCTTTGCTCCAATGAATAAAATATTTCTCTATCTTGAACAGTTTCCATCCTTCATTTATTTATTTATTTTGCTTTTTTGGTAGGTCGTGGGACTTGAACTCTGGGCTTGGGTGCTGTCCCTGTGCTCTTCAGCTCAAGGTGAGCACTCTACTGATTGAGCCACAGGTGCCACTTCCGGTTTTCTAGTGGTTTATTGGAGATAAAAGTCTCACGAACTTTCATGCCCGGGCTGGCTTTGAACCACAATCCTTAGACTCAGTCTCCTAGGTGGCTAGGATTACAGGCGTGAGACACCGGTGCCCAGCTAGTTTCCTTCATTTATCAGCAGAATGTTGAACCTACATATCCCTGAGCTACCTTCAGATCTACCAACTATACACATTTTTCCTTTTGTTACTCTACCTGAATATTTGTATTTTGCTATATAGTTATCCTCTATGTATATATATTCAATATTAGTCTTAGTATGACCCAGATTCAAGTATTAAGTAACTTTTGTTTATGGGAATATATGTAATAGTTAAAGCTAATATGATGCTACTTGCACACAAAGGCATAGATATTTCAGGTTTATGTTGATAAATGTTAAACTGCTTTCTCTAAGAGTACAGTATCCATCTTAAATGTTTTTACTTTCTATGCATTACTATAAAAGGTAGTCTAAAATATTACATGGAAAATTCCAGAAATATACAATTCATAAGGTTTCATGTTTTGTTCTATCTATCTATCTATCTATCTATCTATCTATCTATCTATCTATCTATCTATCTATCTATCTACAAAGTCTTGCTATATACCTCAAGCTGACCAGGAACTTGAAATCTCCCTTCCTCTGTCTCCCAAGTAATATGCTACCGCTACCCAGATCAGCAACAATAGTTAGTTTTAAGTAGTTTTACTGTAGTATATTGCTGCATTTATTCTATTTTATTAGTTATTGTTATCAATTTCTTACCACAACTAATTTGTAAATTAAACAACAGAAAACACAGAGAGGTGTAGATACTATCAGTGTCCTCATGTATCTACTAGGCAGGGGGTAGAGACAGGGTCTTAGAACATACTCTTCTGGAAAAGAGGGAATACTATATTTGACTGGCAGTTCTGAAATTCAAGTTATTTAACCACATACTGTTATACACTAGTGTATCTCAGGACAGTTTATTTGACCTAGTAGTAATTAAAAGCCCCAGTTACTAAGTAGCTAGCATGTTTCAGGTAATAAGGACTTAAAAACAGTATCTCATTAATAATACTTCATTAATCAATATCCTTTAAATGTTTTCATTACTCTTTATTAGCGTAACTGCAAAAAAGGTTTCATTGTGATATTCCTATTATGCATATAATATACATATTATGCATATAATGTACTTTGGTCAAATCCACACCATTTGTATTACTCTTTCTTCACATTAATCCTCTGAACAGTACCACTTCACTTTACAAATGAATTGATTTGATTTTAGAAAGGCCAAGTAACTAGCAAGTAGAAAAATCATTAAAAAATTTTTTGTTGGCATTACTCTAGCTTTGAATTCAGGGCCTTCTACACTGAGCCACACCTCTAACACATTTTTACAGTTTTTCTTTTTTTTTTAAATTCTGGTTCTGGGATTGAACTCAGGGACTAGGCACTGTCCTTGAGGGTTTTTTTGCTCAGGGCTAACACTACCAGTTGGGCCACAGCTCAACTTTCGGCTTTATTTTTAGAGGTTAATTGAAGAAAAGAGTCTCATGGATGATCCTGTCTCAGCTGGCTTTGAACTGTGATTCTCAGATCTTACCCTCCTGAATATCGAGAATTACAGGTGTGAATCACCAATGCCTAGCTACACTGCTTATTTTCTTTTCTTTTTTTTTTTTTTTTGTTGGTTATGGGGCCTGAACTCTGGGCCTGGGCACTATCCCTCAGCTCTTCAGCTCAAGGCTAGCACTCTACCACTTGAGCCACAGAGCCATTTCCAGCTTTTTCTGCTTATGTGGTGCTGAGGAATCCAACCCAGGGCCTCATGCATGCAAGACAAGCACTCTACCACCAAGCCCCCATTGCTTATTTTCAAAATAAGGTCTTGCCTTTTATTGAGCCTGTACCTGAACCATGATCTTCCTATTTTATACTTTCATGTCCATTTTCCTTGAGTGAGATAGAGTCTCATGTTTTTAATAATCAGGCCCGCTTTGAACTACAATTCTGATCATAGCCACCCAGGCAACTGGAATGTATCCCTGTGCCTAGCTATTGGTTGAGATGGGGGTCTAATGAATGTGTATGTCTGGAATGGCTTCAAACCTCAATCCTTCTCATCTCAACCTCCCAAGTAGGGAGGATTACAGGAGTGAGCCAATGACATCTGGGTAGAAAAAAAATCATAATTTTAATCCACTTGGTCTTAAGTACAAAATTTCGAGTGTATCTGAAATATATATGGTATATTCAATAGACCAAATTTCCTTAAAACTTCTATAATTCTTAATTAAAAGTTACCTCTTCTCCTCTTAACGCCAGTAGAACTTTATCTGTCCTTGGGACATCATTTATCACTTTCTACCTACTGTAAATTGTTAAGGATCTTGCCTTTCATACTGGGATGCACATTTTATTTAAATTTAGATTATACAAAGCTTAGTAGAATATCTAATGCACTCTGGGTATTAAAGATGTGCTGATTGAACTAAATTTAAGATGAACAGCAATATAATTCTTCTTGTATTTCATTTGCATGTATTGTTTCAAACTTTACTTCAATTTTACATATTATAAAACATTCTGTGAGGCTACTACTGAGTTATAAGAACTAAATTAACCACACTTAACAGTCAAGATTTTTCAGCTCAAGCCTTACCCTCTAATACTTCATCTTTTCCTTCTTTATCAGTGGACTCTTGTACAAGGTAATGATGAGTGACTGAGAACTTGAAGTCAGCAAAGGAAATTTCATCTGTTTTCTCTTCCCAAGTGCCAGAAGTAAATATACCCTGCATTTTATATAATGGAGGAAAAAAAGAATCCACCTTAAAATATTTGTTTATTAATCACAGTGATATTTTCCCTTTTCCTATTAATTTACATTTCATCTATAGCTATCTCCTACACAGTGAAAGTAAAAAAAAGGTTTATCACAGTGACTCTTGAAAATAAAAAGCCTCCTAGAATATTAACTAGAGTGACTTACAAAAATTATAATATCCAAATAATTTTCTTATGAGCCTATGTTAAAAATCATGGATACAGAGTAAATCCCATGCCTCTTCACATGCAACAAAAACTTTTCTACCAACGAAAGAATTCTATTAGCTACTTTGTATTTTATTTTGTGCCAGTATTGGGCCTTCAACTCAGGACCTTGTATTCACACTGGACTTGCTTTATCATATCTAGCTCTCTACCACTTGAGCCATATGTTTAGTCCAGCATTTTGCTGAATAACTAGAGACAGGGTCTTAAAAAAAACGGTGTGAGCCTGGCTTCAAACTGATTCATCTTAGCCTCCTAAGTAGCTAGGATTACAAGCATGAGTAACTAATCTATTTTTAATTGAAAATTATTATTTTGTGTGTATGTGCTGGTCCTCGGGCATGAACTTGGGGCCTGGGTGCTATCATTGAGATTTTGTTGTTCAAGGATACCACCTGAACTCCACTTCTGGCTTTTTGGTGGTTTACTGGAGATAAGAGTATCATGGGCTTTACTGATGAGGCTAGCTTTGAACCATGATCCTCAGATCTCAGCCTGAGTGGCTAGGATTAGAGGTGTGAGCCACCAGTGAGTGCTCTTCTTGATTAAAATTTATAAATGGTACAAATAGCGTCAAAATAAATTTTTATAATAAAATTTCAAACCTAATACACAGCATTATTCAACACAAGAAACCGCTTCATAAAGAAGCATTCTGAATCCATTTTTGTTGCACTTATTTGTTTAATAGATTGCTTCAAACTTAAGCTTCAGTATTTAAATCTTCTCATTGGAAAAGAAACTTCTAGAATAGAAGGAAGGCTAGGAATGTGGCTTAGTGGTAGAGTGCTTGCCTAGCATGCATGAAGCCTTAGGTTCGATTCCTCAGTACCACATAAACAGAAAGCCAGAAGTGGCACTGTAGATCAAGTGATAGAGTGCTAGCCTTGAGCAAAGAAGCTCAGGGACAGTGCCCAGGCCCTGAGTCCAAGACCCAGGACTGACAACAAAAACAAAAATCTTACTTATATGACCACTAAAGGTTAAAAAAAAAATTCACACAGAGCTTCTAATCTCTCATAGCTGTCCTTTCCAATGGAGAAGTAAACAGTCATTTACAACACATCACCACTCTGAATCAGGAAATACTGTGCCAAGCACAGTCCATCCAAAACTAGCTGGAAAATACAGAAGCAGCTGGGCGCTGGTGGCTCACGCCTGTAATCCTAGCTACTCAGGAGGCTGAGATCTGAGGATCGCGGTTCAAAGCCAGCCCGGGCAGGAGAGACCGTGAGACTCCTATCTCCAATAAACCACCAGAAAACCGGAAGTGGCACTGTGTCTCAGTGGTAGAGCGCTCGCCTTGAGCTGAAGAGCTGAGGGACAGCGCCCAGGCCCAGAGTTCAAGCCCCACGACCGACAAAAAAAAAAAAAAAAAACAGAAGCAACCATTCTATGAGTTACTGAGCCTTAAACAATATTTTTATAGCCATGTCTGAGTGCTTTAGATTTGTTGTTTAAAAAAAAATTTATAATTTTGAATTAAAATATATTTTAAACATTCTAAGGATTTGACTATACAAATAAACCAACTATTAATCTTTTGTTATTAGAACTGCTATGTATGATGTACATTAAAAGTTGGGGGAAAGTTGTCTTTGTTTTTTGATAATACTATGAACTCAAGAGTCTTATACTTGCTAGTCTTGTGTTCTACCAGTCAAACCATGCTCCCAGCCTCCAAAATAATGATTTTTGTATGTATACTTTTCTTTGATGAGTTAATCTATGCTAAATTACAACATACAAAGCCTAGACCAAAAGTCTCAAGTTGTAATAAGTAATGAAATGATACATATAACAACTGCTAGTCAGAATGATCAATATATAGCAGTTAAGGATTAAAACCATGATACAAGTCCAGAAAATTGTGAGCCAATTCCATGTTCTAAATTTGTAATAAAGCTGAACCCAATTCAAGATTCTAGTACTAATACCAATACTGCCAACCTTACCAATAATGATGTTAACGAGAATTTGGTTATGCTCAATAAAGAATGCACTCAAGTTTTGTCTCCAAAACACTTTTCAAAATTAGCTGAACTGAAAAATAACATTTTAACATCCCCTCTTAGTGGTATCATTTGACATCAAATCATTTGACACCAAATCCATTTGACACCAAATTCCAACATGGTATATATTTAGATATATCTAGATATGCAACTCTAACTCAACAAAATTAATCTGGTAATTCACCAAGATGTGAGGACCATATGCAGATAATAAAAATGAACACATAAACTGGGTACCAGTGGTTCAAGCCTGTAATCCTAACATTCATAAGGCTGAGATCTGAGAATCACAGTTTGAAGCTAGTCCAGACAGGAAATGTCAATGAGACTCCAATTAACCAGCAAAAAGTCAGAAGTAGAGCTGTGGCTCAAGTGGTAGAGTGCCACCTTTGAGTGAAAAAGCTAAGGGCCTGAGTTCAAGCTCCAGTACCAGCACACACAAAAAAAGTGAGAAAACATATAAATTAGGAAAAACATAACATCTGCATTCAAATTAATGGAATATTAAAATATTATATAAAATACCCAGAATAGTAGAAAATAGGTTGGACTCTTTGTTTCATTCCACACCAGCTCAAGTCTCATTGTCAGCTGAGAGATGATGCCTTACAGGTTGCATAGCACTGGAACTTTCCTAGAGTGATGGCTTTGCTGTCAGGGTCTTATGGGCTCACTCTTCCATTCCCTTACTATGATCTATGCCTAACAGAGGCCTTATCCAACTGTTTTGCACACAAGACATAGTTGTACCCCCTAATAATAGGAACTGACCCCAACATTTAACTTTGATAGTAAAAAAAAGTTATAAATAAATGTCAATAGCAGTATTATTCATAGTGACCAAAAGGTAGGAACCCAAATTTCCATAATGGACAAATGGATAAATCAATGAGTTTTATCCATACAATAAAATATTATTCAGCAATAAAAAAAGAATGATGTACTGATAACACTATAGCATGGACAAACCTTTAAGTGGAAGAAACCAGTCACAAAATACCACCTACAGTACTATGATTCTATTCACATAACCTCATTTTATATTTAACTTCATCTATGTGTAAGTGGTGTGTATATCTACATATATATTTACTCATCAAGGTTTTTTTTTTTTTTTGTCAGTTTTGAGGCTTTAACTTGAGACTTGGGCACTATCCCTGAGCTCTTTTGCTCAAGGCTAACACCCTACTACTTTGAGCCACAGTGCCACTTCCCTTTTTTTTGTTGTTGTTGTTGGTCATGGGGCTTGAACTCTGGGCTTGGGCACTGTCCCTCAGCTCTTCAGCTCAAAGCAAGTGCTCTACCACTTGAGCTACAGAGCCACTTCCAGTTTCCGGCTTATTGGAGATAAGAGTCTCAGTCTTTCCTGCCCAGCTGGCTTTGAACCATGAGCCTCAGACTTCAGCCTTGTGAGTAGGTAGGATTACAGGCTTGAGGCACCAGCACCTCGCTTCCATAAGGATTTTAATCCAAACACATATACCTGAAGTCATTATAAATATTCTTAAAAACAGACTATATAGATTAATTCTTCTGCACTTAAAGACAGGAACTAATACCTACTTAGTGCCTAGTAAGCCCAGACAATTTATATGTAAGAGTGTGTATGATATGTTTAAAGTCTCTTAACACTACGATATATGAATCCCATTTTACAGATGGGAAAAAGTTAGGAGTTTGAAAAACTGGGTCAAGGTTACCACATCTCTAACTGGTAATGCTAGAACCTGATCCACTTGGGCTCTGTTTCTTCCAGTAGAAGCTAAGGTATAGATTCCTATACAGAATTTATATATGATAGATATAAGTAATAACCATCAGTAGGTCAAATTTAAGATGATTGGATAAATGCTAGCTAAGTCAGAAATGGATGACTGCTACCAAAAAGTGGATTTCAGAGTGTCTTTTCTGTATAAAATTAGTAAGGAAGAAGAGACAAGTCTTTGGGGTAATACTCGTTTGTTAGGGAACAAACAGCCCTATTTAGCTTAAGTTTCCTATAAGGAAGTGGAGAAGAAAAGGTAGGTAAAACAGAAAACTGATCATGACAGGAAGGAATCAGTCATAGGAATCGAGGCTTAACACTCAAGAAAGCCACCAGTCTTTTTTTTTTCTTCTACCACTCAAGTCTAGTACTCTACCACTTGAGCCACAGCCCTGCTTCCAGCTTTTTTAGTGGTTACTTAGAGATAAGAGTCTCACTGACTTCCCTGCCTGTGCTGTCTTTGAACCATGATGCCCATACCTCAGCCTCCTAAATAGTTATGGTTACAGGTGTGAGTCACCACCACTGGTGCCCAGATTGCCACTGAAGTCTTACATAAAAGCATGTATAATACGACAATGTTTAGAGAATTCCCCTGCACAAAATAGGAGAAGGGAAAAATTAGAAAGGAAAGGTGAGAGTAGAGTGGCATAAGCAAAAAGTTAGAAGGTAATTTACAACAGTGATCATAAAAGAAAAGCTGTATCTGAGGCTACAAGACTTAGGTGATGAACAGTTCTCACTGATTTGGGGTACATTAGCTTTTTCTATGTGTCTTAATTTCTATCTTTAAATAACAGTACCTACCTCGTGAGACTACACTGGGACACAGAACATGAATCAAAACCACAGTGAGATACCACTCCAAACCCATTAAGATCACTATTATTCAAAATACAACACCCAAAACTGACAAGTGTGTTGAGGATGTATATTGGAACCCCTGTGCATTGCTAGTGAG